TTTTATTGCCGGGCGCCTGGGTGGCTCAGTCGTTGGGCGTCTGCCTTCGGCTCAGGTCGTGATCCCAGAGTCCTGGGATCGAGTCCCACATCGGGCTCCCTCCTTGGCAGGAGGCCGGCTTCTCCCTCTCCCACTCCCGCTGCTTGTGTTCCTGCTCTCGCTGTCTCTGTCTGTCTCTGTCAAATAAATAAATAAAATCTTTAAAAAAAAATTTTTATTGCCATAATGGTTTTGTCTTTTGGTTAGTATTTGGCAGGTATAGCTTCCTCCTTCCTTTTACTCTAAATCTTCCTGTGTCCTAATGTTATAGATATATCTCACATAAATGGCAGAGAGCTGGATTTAAAACAGTTCAATCTTCAATATTTGTCTTTTAATTAGTATATTTAGTCCATTTGTAAATAATTGTAATTACTAGTGTATGTGGATTTATGATATTTTATCTTCTTATCCAACTTTCTTTACATTAATCTTTTATATTTTGTTTTGCATTCTTTTGGGTTGATTTTTCTTTGATTTTTTTCCTCTGCTGATCTGTGAATGCGACAGAAACCACTAGTGCATTTTTTTTTTTTAAGATTTTATTTATTTGACAGAGAGAGACACAGCGAGAGAGGGAACACAAGCAGGGGGAGTGGGAGAAGGAGAAGCAGGCCTCCCACTGAGCAGGGAGCCCGATGCCAGGCTGGATCCCAGGACCCAGGGACCATGACCTGAGCTGAAGGCATGCGCTTAACGACTGAGTCACCCAGGTGCCCCCCACTAGTGCTTTCTAATAACTGTGTTCTCTGTTCTTCCGGCCTTTTTGTTCTGGCCAGTGGAATGTGGACAGAAGTCATATACTCCACATTCAGATCTGGCCTATAAAACGCATTCTCTTTCCCTATCCACCAGATTGCTGGCAAAAACTCCAGAATCTAGAGAAGGGAAGAGCACCAAGATGAAAGAAGTCTTGGTTCTTCAATGACTGGATGTAGAACACTCTCACCCTTATTCCAGCCTATATTGTACTATATTCTGATGTAAGCAGGAAATAAAATCTGATTGTATGAAGTCACTGAGACTTTGTATTGAAACTGTTAGAGAAGCTATCATTATTTACCTTAACTAATACATAAATTATAGATTGTTTCTTTTTTAGTAGTTACTCTTGAAATTTTAACATGCATCCTTATCAAAGTCTAAAGATCAATATTATATTTGTCATCCTGCTGAGAGGAATACTCTATCTCTAGCTAGGTACGATTCTTTCCAGTATTTTTGTTCATCACTTTTTTTAACCTTACAAATTAACTATTGTTATTCCTGCTTTATGAAGTGAGTATGTGTTCACATTTACCCACATTATCATTAGTTTCTTGGCTTGACATTTCTTCTGTCTCAGGTCCCAGATCTTCCCTCTCAGATCATTTCCTTTTCCTTGAAGCACATACCTTACCAAAGATTTGTGAGTTGAAAATTGTTTTGTTCACCTGAAAATATCTGTATTTTGCTTTGTTCTTGAGGAATAGTTTTTGCTGGATTTATAGTTCTTTTTTTTTTTAAAGATTTTATTTATTTATTTGATAGAGAGAGAGAGAGAGAGGGAACACAAGCAAGGGGGAGTGGGAGAGGGAGAAGCAGGCTTCCCGTGGAGCAGGGAGCCCGATGTGGGACTCAATCCCAGGACCCTGGGACCATGACCTGAGCCGAAGACAGTCGCTTAATGACTGGGCCACCCAGGTGCCCCTGGATTTATAATTCTAAATCGACAGTTATTTTCTCACTTCTTGGCAGATACTTTCCCACTACCTGGCTTCTCTTGCCATTGAAAAGAAACCAGCTATGAAATAGTCATTCCTTTGTAAGTAATGTCTTTTCTGCCAGGTTGCTCTTTACATCTATTTTTGGTGTGCTCCAGTTTCCTTTTATTTATCCTTCTTTGGATTTGTTGTGCTCCCTTGGTGCAAGGATTTCTATCTTTCCTTGATTTTGGAAAGTGTTCAGCATTTTTCTCTTTGCAAATTGCCTCTTCCCTATTCTTCCAATGATCGCTTTCTGGAGCCCCTATTACACGTATGTTAGACTTTCTCCTACTACCCTCCATGTCTCATAATCTCATATATTAAACATTTAAAAATTTTTAAGTCAACTATAATTAACATACAGTGTTATATTAGTTTCAGGTGTACAATATAATGATTCAAAAATTCTATACAGGGCGCCTGAGTGGCTCAGTTGGTTAAACGACTGCCTTCGGCTCAGGTTATGATCCTGGAGTCCTGGGATCGAGTCCCACATCGGGCTCCCCCTTCTCTCTGGGGAGCCTGCTTCTCCCTCTGCCTCTTCCTGCCACTCCCCCTGCTTGTGCTCACTCTCTCTCTCTCTCTGTGTCAAATAAATAAAATCTTTAAAAAATAAAAATAAAAAAAGAAAGAAATTTAAAAAAAATTCCATACAATGCTCATCAAGATAAGTGTAATACTGGGGCCCCTGGGTGGTGCAGTCGGTTAAGCATCTGACTCTTGGTTTCTGCTCGGGTCATGATTTCAGGGTTATGAGATCAAGCCCTGAGTTGGGCTCCATGCTCAGTGCAGAGTCTGCTTGAGATTCTCGATCTCTGCCTCTCTTCCAGCTTGTGTTCTCACTCTCCCAAATAAATAAAATAAAATCTTAAAAAAAAAGATAAGTGTACTCTTGATCCCCTTTATTTCACCCATAGCCCCACTGACCTCCCCCTGGCAACCACCAGTTTGTTCTCTGTATTTAAGTCTGTTTTTTTGTTTGTCTCTTTTTTGTTTGTTTGTTCATTTGTTACTTAAATTTCACATATGGTTAATCTCATATTTTTAATACTGTAGTTTCTCTGTACTATATTACTGGTAATTTCTTTGATTTGTCTCTTCCTAGTTTTCTTTTTTTTTTT